GAAGATTACTAGAATTGAGAACTAGATCTTTTATTTGGAGTGGGCTGTATGTGTGGTCTGTGACGAGTTTTATGCAATTTTAACAACTCTTTTACATTTTAAATTTTTAGGCTCCTTTTGCTTGAATGTTGCTTTAATTGATTGGCTTTGTAATGTTTTGCTAACAGTAATTTGGAGTTTGTTCCGTCTCTTCCCCCCTTTTTTTTGTGTGTGTAACTTCTTTATTTCCTTTCCTGTTATGCAAGGCCCTAACCTGGTTTTTCTGGGGCTAGTTTAATTTTATTGATATGGCCATTTTTTTGGGGGGGGGAGGTCACAGCCGTGCTGCTGGCTCCCTTGTTTTTGGTTGGGCCGGTCCTCCTTTTAGTCATATGGCCAGCTTATGCCGGTGAAACGATGACAAATGCCATTTTTAGACTGTGCCCTTACGGTCTAATGACCCTTTGTGCTAAAGAGTCCAGAAGGCATTGTGGAGTGGAAAAGTACAATTTAATTTGTGCAGCCTTTGAGGAGATAATTGATTCTTTGAGTAGAACAAAAAACAAGGAAGTAAAAGGATGATACGAGAAACATGTAGTGAGATGGATGTCAAAAGGCATTATGGAGCAAAAAAGCATGACTTTTGTTTCCAGAATCTTTGAGAAAATACATGAGTGAGCCTTGAGAAAGATGAAACAAGGCAGCAAAAGGCTGTCAGATGAGTGTTAAGGAAATTTCAAGCAGAAAAAAGTTTTTGTTTCCAGAACATTTGGCAGAAAGAACTGTTTAAAAAAGATGAAATACCTGAAGCTAAACTAAATTATGGGTAAGTAATTACTACTGATAGTCATTTTGAAAAGCATATTTGATATAAATATAATTAAACATCATGCAATGTACATGCATCACAGATTTACACAATTTTTCCACATCTGCTTTGGTCTTAAACCAGAAGGAACATTCCTATAAGTTATGGAGAGTCTTTGCAATATCAAATTGACTTCCAGTAGAGTTACTATGAAGCTCCAATAGACTATTAGGTATTTGAGATCTTGTTAAAATGAGCTGTCATCCAAAACACTATTTCACACGTGAAGTAACACCACACAACCCAAAAATTTTCATTGACATATTTCCATTTCCTGCAAATTGGGTTTTCAGCTCACTGTTTCAAAGAATTCTAGTAATCACTTCAATTCAGTATCTCCCACTTGAGCTTTTTTCAGATATTTTAAAGCCATATTTTTCTTTAGTGCACTTTTCCTCACACGCCTTTTTTAAGTGTGTAAGAATTTCCATATAAAATGTGTCAATCTGGCTATTTGACTGTCTGGGTTTTTGAAATTTTGTAGCTAATTTGATGAGGCATGGTTAATATGCAGCACGAATTTGCAACCAGAGACAATGATGACAGTGTTCTTCAAAAAAAAAAAAAAAAAAAAAAAAAACTTATCCAATCTTTTTATTGCTAGCATCTGCACTTAAAATGAAGTCATATTCAACCTGTGGATAAACTGTTGAATAAAAAATGGGGACGAAGGTATTGTTTAGTTTTAAATGCATTTTCACACTTATCAGTTAACGAGAATTTTTATTTTGCTTCTATTAGGTGACGTAAAAGATCTTGCAATCTTAAAAACTCATTCGACAAATTTTCAATAATAAGTACACAGAGTGAGAAAGTTTCTTAACTGATAAACATTTTGATGGCAAAATTATTATTATTAATTTTTAACAACTATACTTACAAGAACAACTACTAAATAAAATTAAAAAATACAGTACAAAGTCCGTAATCCAGACTCTCTTCGGCGATTCCGGATTAGGGGGTTTTCTGGATTATAGATCATCAATTTAAATCTGGTAATATGACATGCAGAAATTATACAATTAAAAATATGAAACCGTAATTTATGAAATAAAGAGCAATTATGATCTAAAAGGTATCAAAATTTACAAAAAAAAAACTTAATATTTATTTGTTTACTTTATTTAACATTTCTTTCAATGTAAGTTGTTTAAATTGCTTCTTTTTTTGTGCTAATACTTTCTCTGTAATTCTATAAACAAACATAATTTCTTGTTCAGTTACAAAATTCATCTATTCAAGTCCTGTAATTGCTGTGTCGAGAATACCGACTAACTTGTCAATCGGAATTTTTTCGTTTTCCTTTCTGTCACTTTTTTCACTATCGGAAGCGGTATTTTCTGGATCTAGAACCATACTACAGATTTCACTGTCCGTTAATTGACTGATGATTGGGGCATTGTCATCGCAATGAAAATCTTCTGTTATATCATCTTCATTTATTACTGCTTCTCCACATTTCTTTTCAAAATCCAATAACTGAAAAATTTCACCTTTAGTTTGCCATGTCCGAAAACCTTCAAATTCACGGCTATCATCTTCATTGTCCTCACCATGAAATATGGTAACTCGCCATAAATTATGCCAAGCATTTTTTAACGTATCTGGAGACACATCCACCCACAATCTTCCGATGCACCACACACCAGATTTTATGCTAAGAAATTTCAAAAAGTCTTGAATAATCTTGCCATTGTTCAAGAAATTTAACATAGATTTTAAAAATGCTATTTCATATTTGCATTTCAGCACGTGCACTATTCCCATATCCAATAGGGTGAATGATAGACATACAATTTGGAGGGAAGAATAATACGGATACATTATCTTTTACTAAAACTTTAAGTGAAGTATGCGCCGAACAGTTGTCAACAATCAGGTCTATTTTTGAGTCATCAGGTAAACCAACCGAATTCAAATGTCGCCGAGCCTCGGGTATAAAATGATTTTCAAACCAAATATTCATCAACGCTTGGGTCATCCATGCTCTTTTATTTGCATGATATATAATGGGAAAAATCGTTAATCCTTTCAAATGCTCGAGGTCGTTCATGTTTTCTGATTACGAAAAGTTTGCACTTGTGCGTTCCTGCAGAGTTGGCGCACGCTAAAACTGTTAGTCTCTCACTGTAATCTTGGAGTTGGAGCCTTTTCTATAGAGGTTGCCAAGGTATTTCGCGGTACATATTGCCAGAAAAGACCAGTTTCATCACCATTGTAAATTTGTTCTAGAGATAATTGTTCACTAGTAATGAGTTCAATGAATTCATCTGCAAATTGTTCAGTAGCTGAAGCTTTTTCACCTGAAATTTTTAATTGTCTTATACCATGGCGATTTTTTAAATTTGGTTAACCAACCTGTCGAATATGTGCACTCGGTGTTTAAATTCATTTCTTCATGAAATATTTTGGCTTGAGCCATTGGAGAATACCGACTAACTTGTCGGTCATTGTGGAGTGGAAAAGTACAATTTAATTTGTGCAGCCTTTGAGGAGATAATTGATTCTTTGAGTAGAATAAAAAACAAAGAAGTAAAAGGATATGATTGACTCATCAATGGCAGCATTGGACCCATCAATGGCAAGCCCTCGCAGCGACGCCGTCTGACCCATTCAATCATCACTTTGTCATGATTGTCACTTTTAGCATAACAAACCCTTTTTCTGTTATTAATTGCAAGTGGGGTGCAGAATCCACAAAAAATTCAAAAAGTTCCTTTTTCTTTTTGCTTATGTCATATACAGTTGACTTTTCAATGTCATATGGCTTGCATAATTTTGAATTTGATTTGATTTGCCTTTATCCAACTTTTGCAGCAATTCCACTTTTTGTTTGATGGACATCGAAAAATGTTTTAGCTTTGTAGATCCTTTGGCAGCTTCAGAATTGAAAACTCGTTTTGACATAATCGGAAGTTCAAGCTTAATTTTTATAAAATTGCTCTAACAGTCTGCAAAAAATAATAAGCCGGGTCCAAGTAGAAGATTAAGGAACAGCACAATCTGCAACATCAACTGAAATGCTTTAGAATCTGTAAAGATAATTTTAGCCTAGCTTATACCGTCCATTATACATTAAATGTGCATGCGTAAAGCATACAAAAAAAAAAAGTTTGTGGCTTTGAGGTCCAGATTACGGACTTTGTACTGTATAACTATTATGATAAAACTATTACTTTTTCTTATCATACTACATTTCATAGTCTTAAAAATAAAACTATAAAATGCACGGCTAGGTGTTCAGTTAATTGCTCTTATACTGGCAAGAATAAGATATAAGAAAAATACAACGGATGGCTGCATTACAAAAGCATACTACATAGGGGAAATGTAATGCTCTTTCTTCCCCTTAAAATGGCAAATTCATTCAATAAAATTTTTTTATTGGTTGCATGTTTATATCCAATGGATTCGTATTAAAATTGTTTTGAATTAATGAATTCGTATTAAACTGTGTTGCACCAGTGGCAAAAGAATTCTGAATACTGGTAGTTCGATCTGAGTTTTGATCCCAGACAAATGGACTGACTGCATGAATACAAGCCAGTTTTCCTTAAAAAATCCTCCATGAAGGAAGGCATCCCTCTTATGTCTCCTCCCATGTTAGGCCATATTTAAGTAATACCAAACCAAAACAATTGCCAGTAACCACATATAGCAAGTGAACATATAAAATGCAGCTAATGGGACACCAGGCATTGACATTTTGAAAACCCTTCGCCTTTGTGTAATAATAGACTCATTTTTAAAAGGGTGTATCTACCAACCTCTTTGATAGAGATACGAGATGCAATCTCCAGGACATCATGATAAGCAGTTACCTTGCCATCTTTGCCGCAAAAAGGTAGAAAAAGACATTGCCTACAAGTTTGTACTGGACACTGTAATTTGTTAAGCTAAAGCTACAATGACCGTTCTCCTTCATACATGATAGCAAAATTATCAGTATGCAAATGTATTAAAATGATTTCTCTAATCTAAATTTCTCTTACTATCTCCAAGTCCAATAATTTGCTACATATATAGCGTATATGTAGCTGGAATGATTGATATCACAGAAAAGTGATAATTTAGTATTCTATAGAAAGGAAATAACATATATTCGATTCCACAGTTAATACTAATGAGGACTTAAAAATATGAAACACACAACTTTAAAAAAGGTTAAATTTTATTCAAAACAAAATAAAAATTTAAAGTATAAAATGACTGATTGTAATGTAACTGCTATGTTACATTATGCTTTGATGAATGTTTAAAAAAATAGAGAATAGAAATTTGATCAAATTTTCATAAGATTCAAAATTTCACATTCACATTACATGAGTTACACATTCAGCCGCCATGAAGTGTTGATATAAAATGAATAGTATCTTCTGGTTGAACTTCATAATCCAATTCACCCTAAAATGACCAAAACAATAAATGAAATAGTGACAAATTTATTGAAAACTTGTGACAAATGAGTATTAAAAATTATCCTAGCAATATAAAAGTAAACCCTTAGCTTATACAGGCAAAGATGAAAAAGATATATAACAGATTTTTTGTACAAACAATTTCTACTATTATTTTCATTCAGCTAATTATAACTGATTTATTTATATTATAAAAACTTTGTATTTCTCTATGCTGTGAATTAAGTAAACATTTGTAATACATTTAAATAAGAAAGGAATAATTGCTACCTTTCAGGACACTATCCTTTTCTAGATTAATAGTTTAATTTACAATACAATAGGCCTTTTATTGTTCTGTTTAAGAAGTCAGATATTAAAAGCTTTTTTCTTCATTGTATCTGTGTATTATTAACTTGAACAAATTTTTAATCATACTTTCTTCTAAAACTCAGCTAGGATCTATACTACAAAGTAGGGGGAAAATATTTCAGACAGTAAGGTCAGTCAGTACTATAACTCGTTTTATTAATACATTGAGCTTCCGATAATCCATTCTGCAGATTTTGAGAAACATCTACTGATGAGAAATTACGATTTTCATGACATGCCAGGTATAACACATTATTGTCTTGCATGGCATTTCACTTCACTGCCATTTTATTCTTTATAACTATTAGTAAATAAATAAAATTTAGTATACTTTAAACAACAATCTGTTAGATTTTCAAAAATTTCAGTGTAAATTCTAAGCAAATATACTAAGGCAAGCGGAATAAGTAAATTATGTTTAAACTTTAAAAGACGGGTGGCCTAAGAATTGGCCAGAGCTGCAGTGCCGAAATATCAGCCAGTGAATTCCCCTCCCGCCATCCTTCAGGGTGCGGAGAATAGTCATTGTCTGAATAACCTCCCTTGCCACTTATGCGAGATGACCTTAACGCCTCCCATCTGCGGGGTTTCGTAAATTCCCTCAGCAGTGAAATCTTAGCAATTTTACATTAGTATTAATTTCACCAACTTTTCAGTGTCATTAAAAATGTATTTTTTTCTTTATATTTCCCTTTTATTGTAATTTTTGTATTTAATATTACAGTTTGAAACATGCAAAATGCAATGGAGTGCAATGCAATGAAAATATAATCAATAAAATCTGTTTTTAAATTAAAGGAAAATAACTTTAAAAAAAACGCTAAAGGATTAATATAAGAAAAATACAATGGGATTTGTTTGATATATAAATATAAGCTGTTACACAATGCTTGGAAACAAATAAAAGCGAACTGCCGATTTATACGAGAAACAAATAGTTAAACGTCATTTTCGAGTATAAATTTAAAATGTTAATTAGTACTAAACTAAATTCAATTTGGAAACAAATAAAAACTGAATAAACTATGAACTGATTGTAGGTGTGCATTTGCTGCTAAGGCGTATTTTCATTATGACGCAATGTCAAAAGTTAATATTCCAACATACAACAATTATTTAGCTACGAAATCTCACCATAATATGTTTCCCTAGTTTTAAGGAAAAGAAACAGCAGAAAAGAGAACAAATTCAACAAATTCTTTTATATTATTCCCTAAGTCTCTTATCTGAAAATTAACAAAGGCAACCTACAGGAAAAGTTGGCAAAAGAGTAATAGTTTCCCTTTACAATGGCAGCTAAAAGGGGGATGGAAATGCATTTGGATTTCCCGTCTTTTTAAGTGAAACCTTTCCAAACTGCCCCGTCTCTTAAAGGTTAAGACATAAACTAAGAAGTGTGTTTGTTCAGATTATTATTATTATGTGTATGCTGTATTTATACACGATAATATATACATTTTTTATGGCAACTCCAGAACCTTAAAAGACGTAGTAGAGTAGGTATATTTTAAGCTTTTTATGTATAAAATTCCAAAAATTAAATGCATTTCCAGCCTTGAATTTTAAGATGGAAAACTTCGAGATTTTTTTAAAGCAATTTACAGTTTTTGACTCTCTGAATTGCCTTGCCGAGTACTGGAAAGAAAAATTTAACACTATTTTATGACTAAAAAAGAAAGGGAAGAGAGACCAGATCTTTAATATTGCAATATACAAAATTTCAGCCAATTAAATGATGAAAGCAGTAGAGTTTTAAAGCAGTAAAGTTTAAATACCGAGATATTCTAGATGCAGTGACTGACATATCAAAAGAACGTAATAGAAAAAGCAATGAAAATGAAGGCACAATGGCCAAGCAATGGAATATGTACACAAGTTGTTAGATTGTATGGGTGAATAAATGTATTTTAGTTTAATGGCATCACGTCTTTGCACAATATTTGAGTAACTGTTCGAAAATAAATGACATGGCTGCCTACCTCTTCTTCCTCCAAAAAATAAAAATGAAAAATTGTTGGAAAATTTATTATTATTTAAATTAAAGCTTATTTATTGTTTGTTTAAAATTTCTGATGAGTTCATTTTTTCAGCACTAGTGCATTAATTACAGTTTTAGAGGGCCATTTTTGGAATGCTCCATTTTGGTTATGCAACATAACACATATGTATTAATAAGAATAACTGAGAATTCAATATAATGTTGAAGTATAAAAAAAAGAACTGTATATTCAGAAGATAAAAAGTGGGGAAATACTTTCACTAAAGGTCTTTGAAAAATGTTCTAATTAAAAGGTGAAACAGAAATTTCTAATAGAAATATTTTATTTCATATGCATGTAACTGAAATGTTACATACATTCTTTACAGTACACATTAGTTCTATTTGAAATTTTCAGTTTCAAATTTAAGAGGCAGTATTACATTTATTTTGGATATATCCCTAGATATCAGCCCTACAGCACTTTTTGTGCCCTTTTGTAATCACACTTTGAACCTTGTCGTAAACTATGGTGAGAACAACAATTTATTAAGTGCAAACTTATTAGATATATATATATTTCGTTTTGAATTTTAAAATAATAAGTAGTGTTCAGCAATATATTTGGTATCCAGTGCATTTAGTATGTTATTTCACTTCGCTTGCAGTGTTACTTTTATATAACATGTTGCTGTTGATTAATGCTCAATTGTCTGACCTATAGTCAGCCCAAGTCCACAAAATTCCTCGTGGCAAGGAGCGCAAAATAGGCCTGTCGTTGGCAACATCCTTCACCACCTTACCTTGATTTAGCTCAGTTTCACCCCCAATTTTGATGGAGAACGCCCTGGGGGGAATGGACCAAGTGTCTTCCACCGCTCTTCTTCTACCACCAACCATTCGAGAGGACTTTCACCTCGCACTTGCATATTTAGAGTGCCCCCATGATGCACGAACATTATACATTTACAAACATCTATGTCTTCTCCTGGATTCGAAACCAAGCCCTTCGGCATGGCAGTCAGCAACGCTAACCATTATACCGGTGCTTTGTGCGGCTTTTAATAACATAAATGTTATAAATGTTCAATAAATATGTTTAAGTGTGGGTTTTAACAAAGCATAAAATGTTTGCATATTTAGACAAAAGATAAACTTTTTGTTTTTTAATTAAATTTTTATAAATATCGTTACTACATAAAGGGGCTCACTAGACTCAATTACAACGTCGTCAATTAGGCTTGGTGCGGGTCTGTAAACATATTAAGACAATACTTCTAGTAACAGAAGTAAAACATTTAAATATTATATTTTCATTGTTTTTCAGAAAATTCTCCAAAAAGTAAAAGCTTATTGCAAACTCTCTGTAAAATGCATCCATCACATGTTAATACCATGAAGACATTTGTCTGGAATCTTCTAGATTTGTGGGTCTGTAAATCTTGCCTTAAAATCCTTCTAAACTTTGTAAGTTGCAGTGTCTAAAGTCCTAAAGAAAAATTACTCCTACTAATTCTGCAAGAGCAAAAAGGCTGAAATACTTTTAAAAAAATCAGAGGAAAAAGTATAAAATTAATTTTATAGAGAAAACTGATACATATTGATTCAACTACATGGGAAAAACTCTCACCATGAAAAAATTACAATAAAGGCAGTTTTAATTAATTACATAGCTATTTTCCTTTTGCTAAAAATTATTCCATTAATTGTGCTAAAGCGGAAAGCATTTATTACCTTGTTTATTTTTCAGATTCCAAACATCGATCCAAAATCGAAAGTAATGTCACTTTATATGATAGCGAAAAATAAAAATGTTTAATTTTAATGTTATTTCTTGGACACAATTTCAACATATTAGCATTATTTTAATGAAATTGATCAATTTTATAATATTTTTAAAAAATATCATCGAAAAATTCCCAGATTTGCGATTTAAAAAAAAAATTATCTTAAATTTGCCAAAATGTTGTAAGTTGCCAAATTTGGAACCGTTTGATAAAGAATTCACATTCCCAAACGTGAAAAGTTGTTTAAGAGCTCTTCATTAGAAAAAATGAAATAATATTGAAATGCTTATGTTTCACTTCTTGCTCAGAAACATGAGTATCTCACCATTTATATTAGAAATAGGAATAAATTATAGCCCATAAACCTATTCAGCCATTCAAAACATATTTGTCAATGAATTGCCAAAAACATTTGTCCGAAACGCTAATTCACATTCAAACTGGCAGTCGTTAAAACAGACAGAAATTTCGGATGATTAAAATTAAGGACCTCCTGCCGAATTTGATTGAAATTAAGGACTTTTAAGGACCGTACGAACCCTGATTATATGCTGATGTGAGATTATATGTTGTATTTAATATTCTGTTCTAAAATATACTTTCAAAATGCAGCATGTGAAGATATGCATTGTATGAATAAAAAACCTTTTTTGAAATCTAAATTAAAATTATTATATTTTTATGTTACCAAAAAATAACAAATATCCCATTAACATTTACACCATCATTTAATTAAAATTGTTTGTGTAGTTGATAGTACCTTCTAACAGAATAACTATATTGGGATCACATTTTCTTTGGTTTAGAAGTTTATTAACTTGTCTGTATTTTAATTTTTATTACTAAATTAAATTACTTTTTCCCCTAAATATAGTTTTTAATTATGAACATTTTCAAATCAAAACGTTTTCTGTGATACTGAATTAGTTTCCTGTGGTGGACAGACCAATTACATACACCTCTGTAAGTATTATCCTGGTATTTAGCACCTTTAAGCACATGAATTAATAAAAAATTTACCTTTCATATTTTAAACAATAAATGTTGCCTCATATTTTAAATTTCTTAATTTCAAAAAACAAAAGTGCTATTCATAAGCCAGAATCGGCTAAGTAACAGTCTAGATTTATATTATTGCAAATAATTTATATAGAAATGTTACTTCGTGAATAATACAGAAATTTTCAAATGCAGGTATTTAAATTCAAACCAGTTTAACCTTCAAATTATTTACATTTTTTACTATTTAATTTTGACTATGATATTATAAAGTAGGCCCTTTCATGATTAACAGCATTTTATATACACATTTTAATTTATAAGAGCACAGCTCAAATTATACAGAAATGAAACAATGATTACAATATGTTAACTCCTGTTAGGTTACTTACTAAGCAAAATAAAATTACTTTTAAGTAAGAAATATAAAATATTATATCAGTGATATAAAGAATTGAAAAGAGAACTGATCTTAGTATTTTAGTTTTTCTACTATTTCATGATGCATATTAAGAATTACTAATTAAATAATTATTAATTTACAACTAATAAATACTAATTTGCTAAAAGAAAAAACAGCATGCAAAAGGTAACTTAATTTTTCTCTTTCATATTTGGAAATTATAAAACTGTTAAGGGGAAAAACTTACAAGAAGTTCCCAATCAGAATCATTAACGAGTACAAGTATCCCAGGTCGCCTAAAAAAAAAAAGTTTCATTAATTTTTTTTGCCGCTTCCAGGATAAGATTTTTGAAACAATAAAAGATTAAATTTTACAACAATTCTCTCATTTAATATGAAGAATAAAAGAATGGGGAATTTTTTCTTCACTGTTTTAAACATTTTCTTTATGTTTATTTTACATACTAGAAAAAATTTCTTTTAAATGAATTAATCCTTATTATGCAAGTTCTCTAGTTAGATATTTGTTGTTAAAAAACAATACCAATTATTTACTTTTGTTTATTCAACTTCTGGTTCATTAAAAATTAAATTATCATCACAAAAGAAATGCACAATAAATATACAAGATAAAAAATATATAAATCAAAATTATAATTTCAATTAGTGAAAACTCCTTAATTCCCTCTCTTTATTCTAAAACTTGCAATAACTTTTAGATCACTACATCTTGCATGGCCTGCAAAATGCTGATGATGTAGCTAATTGAGAACTTGAACTCAAAATTTTGAGAACTAAAATCTTTCTAACCTAAACCGAAACCTTCCTCTCGCTGAGCTTCCATATTGGATAATTGTACACTCAGCTTCCACCTTTACTGCCCCTTCAATGCTGTGCTCTCCTCCTAGCACAATAGCTGACAGTTAAAGTTCTGAAAACAGGCACAATTAGACTTCCAAGTAAACTGTGGCCACAAAAGTCAATTGAAATAAAAATGAATATTTAATATTATTCAGCTGCCAAGTTTCCTAATCACTATGGATTCAACATTTTAGCCTACTACACAATCAGAATTCTTCCTCTTCAATATGGATCTACTACATTCTAAGCTATCTACATACTTTGCAATCTGCATTTCTATGTCTCGATGTTCCTACATCAGTTACTTCTCTAAATTGTTTTCATTTTATTTGAAAAAATAGAAAAACATATAGTAGCAATGTTGATGGCATAGCAGGTAGAATTCAAAGAAAACAATAGATCATGCTGAAGAGGAAGAATCCTGATTGCGTAGTATGCTAAAATGTTGAATCTGTAGCAATTGGGAAACTTGGCAGCCGGGTAATATTAAGTATTCATTTTTATTTCGATTGACATTTGTGGCCACAAGTTACTTGGCACTCTAATCATGCCTATTACCAGAACATTTACATTTTTGATATTGACTGTGCGATTGGAAGAGAGCACAGTGTCGATGCGGCAGCAAAGATAAAAGTTAAGTTTGCAATTAGCCAGTATAGAAGGTCACCAAGAGGGAGGTTTTGGTTAGAAAGTTTTCAGTTTAAGCTCAACTGTCATATATGGCCTGGGTTACATGTGGTTACCAAATGTGGCGATATTTTATGTTGGATGGTTTCAACAAAATTCGTGGATTTTGTTTGTATGGCAACCTTTTTTACATGGAAAGTTTTGCGAGGAATGTGATTGTATTTCATCGTGGTGGTTGTTTGGTTACATGTTGAATAATGGCATATAGTTCCATGAAGGAATTTGTGTAGATATATCAGCCATGCGTTTTAAAGTGTAAAGCTTGTGTTCACTTTCAAGTTCAATAAAATATGTTGTTGGAGTTATTAATGGGAACTACTCTTATATGTACCCTCAGGTCACCAAATTTCTTGCCAAACATTTTTGGCGAGAAACTCCACGCTGCCATATTACTATCTAAATTTTGTGTCTACATTTCGAACTTTAAGCCTAAAATGTCTCCAAAAACATAGTTTTCGCATACACAAAAACTCCGTTTTGAACACACAACTTAAGCTAAAAATCCAAAACAAAAACAAAAAATTTAGATAGCAAAAACGTAAAGTTTCTAACCAAAAATATTTGACAAGAATGCTTGTACACAGCGGTATGTTTTAACTTGAAAAAAATCTATGAATTGCACAATCTAGGCAACGAACAAATCTATGAACTACACACACCTCGCTTTAATAAATTAACATAACAACAATAAATTTCAAAGAATACCATGTACACAGCGTTCTGTTTCAACTTAAAAAAATATCTATGAATTGCACAATCTAGGCACTATGCACTAATCAACAAAATAAACTAAAATAAATTTCAAACAATTAAAAAAAACAACAATAACGACAGAAATTCATACTAAAAAAACAATGAACAAGAATAAAATAAACAAGAATTCCACAAAATAAGAACAAGAATAAAATAAAACGCACATACCATGAATGAATGCTTTTTCGAACAGCAGAAATACCAATACAGCCAGACACACTATCCAGAAAATTCCTACACTCACAAATAAATGTTCAAAACCTTCTTTTCCCAAATCCTTGTAAGATTTCCATCCATCCGAAAAACTAGTTGTACCAGGTTCACTCCACTCTTTAATACACTGCATCAACGTTTCCCTACTTCTATCATGCACAGCCACTAAAAATATTCCTTTTCATGACTTCAATTCATCAACTTCCACCACTTTTATCTTTCCCCTTATCTTTTCAGACACAGAGCAGACTTGTTAACAACTCCAACATTGTACTTTTTAATACTACATTTCCTTTGCACACAATCTAAAATACGCAACTGAAATCTTCCCACCATGTCTCTCATTGCAACATATGCCATTTCAAAACACACGCGACACGAACCCACGAGCAATTAAACTACTCCAGCAAAAGACTTTTCAACGTCAACAGGGTTGCCATACAACACGCAATCGCACCAAAAGCCATCACAGAACACACATTACCACATTTGGTGATATTAGGGCGCATAAGAGTACAGCCTATTAATGAAGCATTTGATCATGGTTAGCTTCATGCCGACAAAAGTGTAATTTTTGCACTTTTTATGGGATACAGTTTTTTTTTTAAGGCGAACTAGTCTGATATGAAGATTTGGAAGAAAAATTGTGTTTCTGATAAATTTGTGTGGATTTGCAGAAAAATTGTTGAGGGTAAAAAATGTAGTTTTCAACGAAGTTTGAGGTTTGGATCCTTGTTTTCCTGCAGTAAGTTGATTTTAGAAGAAATTTCTATTGTAATGTTTGAAATTTTGAATTATTAAAAGACGTCTGACATAGCTAAATTGTGGCATTTTGGTTCACATACTTTGTGTGACTGACGTAGTCTTATTAATGAAAGTATATTATTTTATATATGTGATATGTCTGTTCTTACACAAGTTTTTGTTTGAAATTAATATTTTGCTTTTTTAGAGAACTATTTTGAATGGTAAGTGAATTTACTTTTTTTATTGTTTTAATTTTGTAGAGATATTTTAATTGTTGCATTGCTTTAATTTTGTGATGTTATTTTAGTTTAAATTTGTCATTAAACATTTTTGGTGAGCAACTTCATGCTGATCTAAATTTTTTGTTTTAATTTTGGACTTTTAGTGCAAATAGTGTGCAAAAACCACATTTTAGGCTTTGAATGCAATAAGTTTGAAATGTAAACAAAAATTTAGATAAGTAAAATTGTGGAGTTTCTTGGCAAAACTTTTTCGCCAACTTGCTCCATATATGACAATAGTTCCCAGTTTTCAAATCAAGTTCCCAATTAGCTATGTCATCAGTATTGCGAAGGCCACGCAAGATGGATTGATCTAAAGGTGATGCAATCCAGAGAAGTTAGTACTATTTTTAGAATACAGAGGGGGAATTAAGGGGTTACTTCTTAGTTTAAATTATAATTTTGATTTACATATTTTTTATATATTGCTTGTAGAGCAATTTTTCCATCTGTTGCTTTTCCATTTACTATTTTAAATACTTTAAAGAAATTTTTCTAATAAATGCTTTCCTAAACTTTTAATTTTTCCATTGCTTTTAAATATTATGACTTTGTAAATTTAATTTATGTGGACTTCAAATTGTAATTCTTAGCTTTCTTAATTTTGCTTTGAAATATAGGAATTATAATAGTATTCCCCTTTCATTCTTATGATTATATACAGAGAGAGCTATATATATACATGATGCATAAAAAATGAGAACTGAATTATTTTCATAATAAAAAATAAATATTTATTCATACATATGACATGTAATGTAAACAGGAACTGTTAATATTCTATAATCTATAACCTGAATTTTGACTAACCACAAAACAGCAGGAAATCATAAAAATATTTATGTACATTTTTAGATCTTTTAATTAATTATACTAATGGTATAAATATTAATACAAATTCTTGCTATCAAAATGCAATTAAGACATACATACTGTTTGTAAATAATGTCAATTATACTGATAAAAATGTACTTTCATAATTTGGAAGACAAATATACTATAGTCGATCAAAATTACTACAGTACATCAAAACACTACAGTGCATCAAAACACATACTACAGTACATCAAAACACATACGCACAAAAAGAAGGGAGTAAATATAAAACCCTGCAGGTAATTTTCTTCAAAAAGTCAAAATGGCATCTCTTTTAAGTGTTAAAAAGTGTCATTGCAATTTGTCCTCATTATCAGATTTTAGGCTCTGCTTTAAACAGCTCAAAGATGTTTTAATCTTGGCTTAAATTACTTCCCAATAGTGAAATGAATAATAATTTTTACTAATGAATAAATGAAGTCTAGTTTTAGAAACATTTTAAGGTAAGACTAGCTCACAGTTAAATCTTAAACATATACATCCAGAAATATAATAAAACACAACTAATACTTACACTGTGTCTCCTTGGACAAATAATTCAGGTCTTTCTTGCAACAAATTATCTTTTAGATGAGCTATTAGAGATTTGATGGTCCCTAGAAAATTTAATTAAACATTGTTTATGTCTTGCTGAATGTAGTAAAAATAAATGTCAAATGCATTTTTATTTGAAATTTTGAAAATCTCCATTTTCAAAGATATTTTTCAGTTAAAATTCATATTGATTGAAAGTACAGTGAAACCTCGAGATACGAGTTTAATTCATTCCAGCATTGAGCTCGTATAGCGAATTTTTTGTATCTAGAAACAAATTTTCCCACTGAAAATAATTGAAATCCAGTTAATCCGTTCCACACCCCCAAAAATATCAACATGAAAATCAATTTTTCTAATAAATAACACTGGTAAATAATACAACCGTAATTTACCTTTATAATAGCTTCCGATACTAACCCTTTAACTGCTTCTCGTTAACACCAACAACAGCTCCTCAACATCTTCTAGGAGTTTCGATAATGCATGGAAGTAACGGTAACTCCTTTGGCTACATCAAGTTTCTTAATTTCTTCATACGTCTTCAGAATAGTGCAGATCATATTCCCAACGTAGGTGATAACGCCCCCTTATGGGCGTTTGAGGTTTTCAGTGGGGTGGTAAAAGACCCAGAGAAAATTAAGGGACGTTGATATGGCACGGAGAGGCATGGGAAGATTAAACACATATAGTCTAAAAAAGACTTGAAAATCACGCTGATAATTCATTTCTATCACGTGTGCGAAAATTCACATACACTGAGAAAATAATTCCTCAGTGAAAACACTGAGGAATCATTGTGCAATTATCTGCAGACTTGTCAATTTTCAATTCAGCCAAATGTGTCAACTTTACCAACCAATGAAGCATTGTTATTGTCATACTTGTGATTCATCAAAGATGAAAAAGTGTGTAAAGAAATGTTGTTTGCTACCAATTTGGAAACAGATATAAAAGGAGAAAACATATTTGATACACTGGAAAAGTTTTTTGACGAAAAGGAAATTCCTTTTAATAATATTTTGTCAGTTGCTACGGATGGCGCACCGGCTATGACAGGGCATCACAAAAGCTTCATAGCATGCTTAAAAATTAAGTTCCTGACGTTCTTGCTGTGCATTGCATAATTCACTGACAGCATTTGTTTGCTAAAAATTTGAGCAAACTTCTCCATAAATCACTGCAATATGTTATAAGAGCAGTTAATAAAATCAGGAGCAAATCGTTAATTGACAGATTATTTAGCCAGCTTTGCATTGCAAATGATGAAGATTTCAACCGATTGCTGCCTCACACAGAGGTGTGCTGGAAACTGGCCTAGCAAACAAAGACACAGAATTGTGTGACAATCTCCTCACATAAAAGAACGATTTTGCATACTTAAGCACACCTGTATAAATTGTTTAATGATGTCAATCTCCAACTTCAAGGCAACAATTTAAACTTGATTAAGACTAAAAATAGCTTTGCTGCTTTTGTGTCCAAACTGCTATTGTATAAAAGAAATATAGGCAGACATGAATTCAATAACTTCCCATGTTTATCAGCAGTATCATTCAAGCACAACGACTTGCTTGTTTACTGTCTACACTTGGAAAACCTCTACAATGACTTCAAGGAACGATTCCAGGACATTTTAAACATGGACATACTAGACTGGGTTTTGGATCCCTTTTTTTCAATGTCAACACAGCAGGATCAACTCAGTTAGAAGAAAGAGAAATCGGCTCTATGTTACTGAACGTGTCAACTTACAACTGTTTTTAAGTAAAATCGAGCCTGATATTAACAAGCTCATTAAAATGCATCAAATTCAGCCTTCCCATAAGGCTGAATTTTGAAATTTAATGCCTTTAAATTTTAATAAAAATACTTTTTAATATAATTAAGTATGTGTTTTGATTGTTCTCTGAAACTGTTAATTTATTTATTTAGAAAGCAATAGTTTATTATGAATTACTTCGTATCATCAAAACCCCTGCCTGTCCTTATAACAGGTATTTTATTCTTCTTTTTTAAATAAAGAAGAAATTCAGTAGCGTTTCAATTCCAACAATATTCTATTTAGTAATTTAGATTTATTAGTAATTTTTTTTTATTTAATTCTTTTTTCACCATGCATTGTATGCACTCTTATTTCTCTGGAGTGAGACGGGGGCAATATTGAAATATTCACTAGAAAAATGGACACCAGTTCATAAAAGGTTGGGAACCTAGAGTGTAGATCGCCGATGTCAAAAGACCATCACTCTTACACCACGCTTATGTTTATCTATCATTTCTTTCGTAATTTCAACAGCCATGGCTTCCTTATTTTTCTTTGCAGCACTATCTGCGGCAACACTCTTCTTGGGAGGCATCGTGAAATAATTATTTTCACGTAAAAAATAATAAACAATTAACTCACAAGTACACAAACACATAGATCAAAGAACATTGAGCGATTTGACGAGGGAATTCCCCCGAGTCGAGCTGGATCAGGAAATAGTGCTATGCAGACAAATAGCCTGGCTCATTGCTCGTTACTCGAGTCAATGTTCATATTTAGAGACAAAATTTTTGCTCATACTTTCCTCATATCTCGAATTTCTCGTATATAGAGGAGCTTGTATCTCAAGGTTCCACTGTATCACATTTAAAAAGAAGATTTACATAAAATGTGAAAACATGGAAGCATTTCTCAGTGCAATGATTTACACAAAGTAAATAAATACAAATTAAAAATATGAACTAATGACAAACATTAATAGTTTCAAATAATAGCTCCAACTTTTACATTTTTAATGACAGGAGACACTACCAAGTTAACAACAAGTTTATACATTCATGTTTAAGGAAACTATCAACATAATAGACTGAAACCTGCAGGAAATGTGAAGCAGAGTGCAGCATGCAAATTATATACGTTAAAGTGAATGCACATGCTTGGACCCAGCAGCACCATTTAAATAACTATGTGATGGCTGTACACAAACCAGACAGGTAATATATTCTTGTAAATGAACTGAATACTGCTTTTGTAGTGGTAGCATTTTGGAACTGTAACCATTTATATGTATTATCATTAGTAATGTATGGCTCATGGTGTTACAATTTTAACAAACGAGTACATAAGCACCCACAATACTGATATAACAATAATTGCAACGTACAATATTGTCAAAAATGTTACTATCCTGCAATTTGTTTAAGATTAATTTCCATGTTACAGTGCAAAATTAATCATAAATAATGCTTTTAGAGGCATACAAAAGATTTCAAAGGTATATGAAATACAAGTTTTTGAATTAAAAAAGCAATTTCCACTTACATACAGGCATTTTTAGAAATCTCATATTCCTTAACACCAAATAACAGAAATATATTAAATATTGTGTTAAATTTATAAATGTATAGTCACTGTATATCATCAACATCAAAGACAGACAAACAAACAACATGGATCCGAGATGAAATCCGAGCTTACATGACTCTGGATGAGTAGGACTGTACATTCCTACTCACATGGGACATAACAGCAACATAAGCATGAAAACAGAGAAATGAAAAAAATCAGATGAGTCATAATTCTGGAAATGGAACTTGAAATTGTAACAAAACCAAACAATGAGTGACATTTCATCTGTATAGCAATAAAGAAACATGCATTTCTTATCGTATGCCAGCACAGCATTAGAGCACTATTAAAGAGATGCCATTATCATCTTCTATCATTCGTTTGCAAAAGGTTTTCTTGACGATGAAATATCAACACCTCAGAACATAATGTGGAACAAACAGTGGGTGTAATAATGTGGGATGCCAATGGCTCTCATAGGCAATCTTAAATGCATGCTTTCAACTCCTACATACTTTCAACAGCTACTGCTATATTAAGAATACTGTATAGCCATAATCTTCCTTTGGCACACTTGGTATATAGCAGCAAACTGATGTCTGACCACACGTTGCCCTGAATGTCCAAATCTTCACAGCACCCAGAATCTATTCTATAGCCTAGCCATTCACCAAAATATCTCCAACTGAACACGTATGTTATATGGTCACTTGAACACTGGCCTATCAGTCTTCTCTAACCACCAATATTAGTGAATTATGAATTTGAATAGAAGCAGCTTGATAGGAAGTATCCAAGAATATATCTAAGGCCTCTGTGATTTTAAAGGCAGCAATACACAGAAGCTCCACATCTGACAATTTTACAAATTACTGCTTTTGTAGTGGTAGTATTTTGGAACTGTAATCATTTATATGTATTATCATTAGTAATGTATGGCATGATATAATGCTCATGGTGTTACAATTTTAACAAACGAGTACATAAGCACCCACAATACTGATATACCAATAATTGCAAATTACAATATTGTCAAAAATGCTACTATTCTGCAATTTGTTTAAGATTAATTTCCATGTTACAGTGCAAAATTAATCATGAATAATGTTTTTAGAGGCATACAAAAGATTTCAAAGGTATATGAAATACAATTTTTTGAATTAAAAAAGCAATTTCCACTTACATACAGGCATTTTTAGAAATCTCATATTCCTTAAGACCAAATAACAGAAATATATTAAATATTGTGTTAAATTTATAAATGTATAGTCTTTAAAGTATTATATATAAACATATATTAAACATTGAGCGATTATAGAAAGCGATTGTAGAAATTATAATACATTTCGCATTTTCACTTGGAAGTGCAACTCTGTAATTCTTTTTATTCTTGAATAGTAATTCCAAGCCACCACTAAAAATTAGAAAATATTATATAATTAGTAAATATCAGTCAGAGACTTAAAATTTTAATAATAATACATAATAATCTGAAAGTTAAACTGATTCATATTATTACCATCTGCAGATAAATTATCTTAAAACTTGATGAATTCTAGAAAGAAAAATTTTTATCACTACTGGATAATAATACTACAATAAAAAATTCACTGAGTGATCAATAACATTCAGATATCCTCTAGTAAATAGCGGATTTGCCTGTTCATGAAACTGCACCCTAAAATGGATATAGCATGAGCCAATCAAATTTGGTTGATGGCAAAGTTTGAAACATGAATAGGATACATCAGTTCAGTAATTTGAAAGAAAAGTAATCCATTGCTGCCATCAAGGAAAACATATTCACGAAATTTCAACAATAAGAAAAGTAACATGTTCAACTGTGAAAAATATTACTGCATAGTAAATAGTTTATGAATTATATTAATTCAAATGAGATCTAATTGACATCATAGTTTGACAGACAGGATCAGTAGAATACTTTATAAAGAGTGACAGAAAACAATAGTGAATAAGTGGAAAACATCTGCAAACATAAACTTCCATGTATTTAATAACAGTGCATTTTTCTGCATATCAGCAACCATTTGTGCATATGGTTTCTTTATTTTTAGATGACTGATTAGGTTACTATTTAAGTTGCAACTTTACACCAAGAAGGTATATATATATGGTTGTCCCAAATTACTGCAGATTCCATTGGAAGCATAATGGTTTGCGCATGTTTTGCTCCTTCTGCAATGGAAAATTTAGTTTTATAGAAAATATATGTATCAGTATAAATACGGCACTGTTCTATTATGTCTGGACCAGATTCATATATCACCAAAAGCTGTTATCTGGTAAAAAATTTGAAGCATAAAAATATGTTTAAGATACGGTTACGTTGAAGAAAAATTCAAGGAGAAAAATAGCATAACAGATATATCTAAAATTAGATATTTTTAATGTAAATTATACAACTTTTCAAAGAAATCAGGGGGGAAAAAATTTCAGTTAGCAAATTAAGGCATGAAACATTAAGGCAACAAGGTATGAAACTACGGATATCATTTAAAATGTCTGAAATCATATATGTCTTGGGTACTTTCGCTGCAACTTAAACTCAAGTAAATAAGAATGCAATTAGTTATGGTCGTCAGTGCCACACTGCTGTTTGCTTTGCAATTTCACATATATTTACGATTAATGCAAAAATATTCAAATCCAACCTCTCTTAATTCTTCTGTATCATACCCTTTCCAGCAGTGTAAGTATATTACAGTACTATTAATAATACAGTCAAAAGTCGTTAATTCGGACACCCATAATCCGGACCTCAAAGCTACAAACTGCGCATGCGTCGTAAGACCTTTACGGCTGCGAATATGCGTGTGCCCATGCGCAAAATACGCTTACGAATGCGCGTTTAATGTATAATGGACGGTATAAGCTAAGCTAAAATTATCTAATTCAGTTAATGTTGCAGATTGTGTTGTTCCTTAATCTTCAAATTGGATTCAGCTTATTATTTTTTGCAGACTGTTAGAGCAATTTTATAAAAGTAAGCTTGAACTTTCGATTATGTCAAATAGAATTTCTGATATATATTTACGGTTGATCTTTACATTATGGTAACTTGGCGTTTTTTTGGCGAAAATTTGGCGACCAACTCTCCTACAGCAACCCTCTATTTTTTTTTTCCCGCCGCCATTTTGTCTTCACGAAGTAAAGACATGTTTCTTTTCTTTTTATCTACTGAACACTTCTTCCAACAATCTACTAGCCAAATTACACTTATGCTAGAAATTTTATCTAACAAAACTGCTTAATCATGACAAATCTTCACTGCAAAATTGGGAAAACTGCACAATACCATACTCCTTACGCGTTTTTTCAAAATAACACATACACATAAACCACGTACACGCCGACTTATTTTTACTTAAAAAAACATCCCAGAATTGCACAAAAATGGCATTGCGCACACTCTTCACTATATCCATGTACACTGCTTTTTTCTCATAAATTAGAAAAATTTCACGAAAATACATGACAATTTTCTCAATCTTTAAACCCGGTAAAAAGAACATATATGAAATTACCTGATCACGAAAAAGTATTTACCCTTTCCAAATATGAACATTTCCACATATAAAATAAATAAAATATCCAAAAACTTTTACCTCTAAATCATCTATTACATTATACACGTCATCAACGAATTCATACCGCAAGCATTACAAATACTTAGTATCAAAAATTTAAATTATTTCCATGCACGTTTACTTCAACTTCAACGTGTACCAAATTCCTACAAACATTATATTCACAAAATAACTATAATTTAATTAAAATATCACTAAACCATGTACACGTCGACTTATTTTTACTTAAAAAAACATCCCAGAATTGCACAAAAATGGCATTGCGCACACTCTTCACTATATCCATGTACACTGCTTTTTTTCTCATAAATTAGAAAAATTTCACGAAAATACATGACAGTTTTCTCAATCTTTAAACCCGGTAAATAGAACATATATGAAATTACCCGATCGCGAAAAAGTATTTACCCTTTCCAAATATGAACATTTCCACATATAAAATAAATAAAATATCCAAAAACTTTTACCTCTAAATCATCTATTACATTATACACGTCACCAATGAATTCATACCGCAAGCATTACAAATACTTGGTATCAAATATTTAAATTATTTCCATGCACGTTTACTTCAACTTAAACGTATACCAAATTCCTACAAACATAAAATTCACAAAATAACTATCATTTAATTATAATATCACTAAACCATGTACACGTTGACTTATTTTTACTTAAAAAAAATCCAGAATTGCACAAAAATGGCATTGCGCACACTCTTCACTATATCCATGACACACTGCTTTTTTCTCATAAATTAGAAAAATTTCACAAAAATACATGACAATTTTCTCAATCTTTAAAAAAACCCGGTAAAAAGAACATATATGAAATTACCACCTGATCACGAAAAAGTATTTACCCTTTCCAAATATGAACATTTCCACATATAAAATAAATAAAATATCCAAAAACTTTTACCTCTAAATCATCTATTACATTATACACATCACCAACGAATTCATACCGCAACTATTACAAATACTTAGTGTCAGATATTTAAATTATTTCCATGCACGTTTACTTCAACTAAAACGTATACCAAATTCCTATAAACATAAAATTCACAAAATAACTCATAAAATTCACAAAATAACTATCATTTAATTAAAATATAATTAAATTCAAAAACACTACTTAAAATATAAATGAGCACATACATTAAATTAATACATACATAAATAGCCATTTCGAATTCACTTTAGTTACGGCCATGGGATCCAAAAATTCACGAACACTGTTTCACACAACACAGAATAAAGCCAAATACAAAATTTCCAGATTTTTTCCCGATTTCCCCCCTTTTCCGATTAAAGAACCGTAATTCGTCCATTAATATCACATGACATATCCCATGATCTCTCATTTCCCTCACACAAAATAATGCGTAATCGGAACTGAGTACTGCTCACATTATTACCAAAGTCCCAGGTAGTAACCTTTATCGCCTCCAAAATGTCGCCAAACTACCAGTTACCATATTGTAAAGATCAACCGTATTTACTAATATGTAAAGGATCTAGAAAGCAAACGTATGTTTCGAAATCCATTAAACAAAAAGTGGAATTGCTGCAAAAAATGGATAAAGGCATATCCTTTGTTTATCTAAACTTTAACGTTTGTTTATCTAAACTTCGTTTATCTTTAACGCCGCGGCGCGCAATGAATTGGAAGTTGATCTGTCAGCACTATCCTTATCTTCAGGGCAGATGTTTTTATTTTATTTGGCTTATAATTCCTTACTAAATGTAGTATTTCATCTCGATATGCTCCGTCTTTGATATGATTTAAAACAAGTTCCTCGCCATTATAATTCGCTTCCGATAGCGAAGAAAGTGACAGAGGTTATTGAAAACGAAAAAATTTCGATTGACAAATTAGTCGGTATTCTCGACACAGCAATTATAGGAATTGAACAGCGGAACTTTGTAACTGAACAAGAAATTATGTCTGTTTATAGAATTAAAGAGAATGTATTATCACATAAAAAACGAAGCAACTTAAACAACTTACATTGAAATTAATGTTTAATAAAGTAAACAAATAAATACAGTCAAAAGTCGTTAATTCGGACACCCATAATTCGGAATGATCTATAATCCGGACCTCAAAACTAAAAACTTTCTGCGCATGCACCGCGTTGACACATGCGCATAGGCATTTACGCGTGCGCGTAAGACCTTTTACGGCTGCACATATGAGTGTGCGCAAGTGCAGAATACGTTTTCACGTGCGCGTTTTATGTATAATGGACGTATAAGCTAAAATTATCTAATTATCTATTTCAGTTAATGTTGATGATTGCGTTGTTCCTTAATTTTCGAATTGGATCCGGCTTATTATTTTTTGCAGACTGTAAGAGCAATTTTATAAAAGTAAGCTTAAACTTTCGATTATATCAAATAGAATTTCCGATATATATTTGTTAATATGTAAAAGATCTAAAGCGAAAGTATGTTTTGAAATTCGAAATCTGTTTATCAATTTCACGCTGCTCGGCGGGGGGAACGCGCCCGCGGGCACGTAATGAATTGGAAGTTGATCTGTCAACACTATCCTTATCTTCAGCGCAGATGTTTTTATTTTATTTGGCTTATAATTCCTTACCAAATGTAGTATTTCATCTCGATATGCTCCGTCTTTGATATGATTTAAAACAAGTTCCTCGTCATTATAATTCGCTTCCGATAGCGAAGAAAAGTGACAGAGGTTATTGAAAACGAAAAAATTTCGATCGACAAATTAGTCGGTGTTCTTGACACAGCAATTATAGGACTTGAACAGCGGAACTTTGTAACTGAACAAGAAATTATGTCTGTTTAATAGAATTAAAGAGAAAGTATTATCACATGAAACGAAGCAAAACTTAAACAACTTACATTGAAAGAAATGTTTATTTAAGTAAACAAATAAATATTAAGCTTTTTCTTTTTGCAAATTTTGATACCCTTTAGGTCATAACTGTTCTTTATTTCATAAATTACGGTTTCATATTTGTAATTTTAGAATTTCTGCATGCCATCTTACCAGATTTAAACCGATGATCTATAATCTGGAAAAATCGATAATGCGGAATCGCCGAAGTCCCGACGAGTCCGGATTAATGACTTTTGACTGTATATTCTTCAGTAACTTTAAGCAAAATTCTGGCAAGGTGGTTAGGCATAGGAACTGAAAAACACTCTTTTATTTTGCGGCAAATCCTGCTTCATGCCCACTAGGGCAGAAGCATATGACCAATATTGTTTTTTCAACACAAAAACAGATTTTCATCCAACTGCACCAATACTACCTGTGCCCCCTAGTTTAATTGATGGTTTAGCCATAAATGTAGGGCCACAGACTTTCCTTACACAATTATTCCATTCAACAACTGTGCAATGATTCTTATCAGATTGATAATGATAGAATTAAAGTTAATTCTAAACACCATGCATAGAGAAAAAACAATGTGCCATTTAAGAAACCGATCCTAGATCCTTCAAGCCAATTTCAAGAACATAATTCTCTTTTTTTTCTAGACATATCATATCTTCATTTTGGTGCTGCCTTTGAATTTGTAGAGCTGCATTTTATGGTTTTATGTGCACTTTCTATCAGAGTGAATAATCTCTTGTTCCTGAAGAAATTGTATGGAAGATGTTTTATCATTATGCAAGTCCCAAATTTTCATATCCGTGGTAAATACAATAACAAAAAAAAGTGACCATTACATCTTTAAAATTTGCATTCTCATTGCCAATTTTGAAAAAAACATTCTATTACTTAACAAAAAGCAAAACAAAAAAAAAAAAAAAAAAAAAAAACTCAACACTATAATGACTTTAAAAATAAACACTGGAAACTTCATATGAACCAATCTCTTGGTGAGTTTAAGAAAACACTTGGCAACGACTCCGGTCCTGATAACAGAACTGTACCATAAATATTCCTAATAAAAACCTGAAACATCAGCAAGAAAATCTTGGTATGCAAAATACATTTAAGTAAGTAAAATACATTTAATCAGGATAACAATCCTAATTATACAGCCTTGAATGGTCACCTATGGTTCCTGTACAGCTGTTCTGAAGTTAATAAAACGTTCCCATATTCTACAGATTTAAATCCTACTGAATATATTTGGAGTGAAGTTGCAGAAAAGAATAACGGAACATGATATTTCTTTGAAAGCTCTATTTAAGCAGTTTTACACAGGACTGGAACAAAATAAAATATTTTTGCTAAAAAAAATTAGTTAAATCCACGCCAATGTACATGAAAAGTGTAATTTTTAACTAAAGGCTATCTAAAAAAAGCATCGGATGTCCCATTACTTTCATATTTTTATTAAATATAAACTGCAAAGTGTCCAAATACTAATGCAAATTAATTTTTAAAACTTTCTGAATACACTTTTTTTTTTTTTTTTTGTTTTTGTTTTTGTTTTAACCAAAAAAATTTTGAACTATTTCAAAAAGAAGCAGGTTTTCAAAAAACAGATGAGCTGATCTTTACTGTACTGGTACTTGGTTTTTTCTGAAAAAAATCGCCAAGCAGTATTGGTTGTTCATGAAATCTAGAAGTCCGCTGTGCTTTTTTTATATTAGCAAGCCTTTCATATGGACCTGGGTTTTTTGTTTTTACTATTCTTTTCAGCAGCTATTTCTGCTTGCATGTGCATGGTATGGTCTTGGATTTTGAACCTGCTATTATTTTGCTGTGGGTACCATCATTTGAGTATGTCTGAGGTAGGTAAGAGCATGAATGTTGATTAAGAGTGGATGAGCCAAAACGACAAAAAATATAATTGAATTGCTTACCTGGAGGATAGAGGAGATGGTTGTGGGAAGCCTAAACGCATGTATATGAAAAAAAGGTATGTTAAAAAATTGGCATTTCATTTATTGTCTCTGTGTGTTAATTTTTGTTAAAATATTTTATGTCAGGAAATATGCATTTTTGGTTATTACTTCCTCTCTGTGTGTTAAGACAGCAGCGAATTTTTTCTGGTTACCATGATAGTTTTAACTTTGTTTTAGCTTCCTGATTTAAGTAAAAATAGATCGATGTGTATATGGACAAAGTTAAGGCAGTGCGCAATGCCTAGTTTGTGCAAATCTCTGATGTTTTTTTAAGTGAAAATAGGTCAGTGTGTACATGGACACAGAGTTTGTGTAAGTCTTTGACTTCTTATTTTGATTTTGTGTAGCAGTCATCTTGAAAATGACGCCAATCCTTTTTCGCACCAATTTTGCCATCAAAAAAGAAATGATTTGTCAAGGGGTACTATAAAGTAAATTTTTACCTAAAGATGATCAATAATATATGCAAAAGAAAATCAAAATCCTTTTTGCTAACATTTAATACTTGATTTTCGAAAGAAAAATTAAAAACATGTGTCCAAAAATAAATGTGAGCCACTGTAAACCTTAATCCAATCATTCCACTTTTAAGACTGACAAAACAAAAGTACAAATAACAAATGTAGTAACCCTTAACATTTATGAAAACACATAAATATAACTCATACACAAAACATGAATATGAGAACGAGAACAGTTTCAAAACTTCATTTAAAATTAATTATTACATAACATTTGAAAATATACCATTTTTAGTCAAAACGTTTGATGATCAATATATATATATATCTGGGAAGACCATAGTATGGTTCTCGCAGACGAATGATGCAGCTCGTAAGAAATAAAGGTACTATTCGGTTTTAAGTGCCATAAAAAATCGCCAAACTATTGTTGTTGCCACTGCTGCGAAAAATTATTGCGGCAACCCTAACGCAAGAAAGGAACGATAATAGTAAATGACTATCTAAGATTGATGTTTTAATTTAGATGAAAGGTTTATTTCATATAATACTTTTTTATTATTATAATTTATATAAAAAAGGCTAAACATGACTGAATGGAAGTATAAGAGTAAATAACTATTTCAGATCATTATTATAATTTATATAAAAATTGCTAAACATAACTGAATGGATGCCTGCATCACTATTTTGCTACCGAGTTATTGCTAAAGCATAATTTCATCTCGTTGGTTGTTTGGCGCTTTTACGCATACACTTTCGCTGCAATTTTTTTACGGTCTTCAAAATGGAATAGTACCAAAATAAAATATATGTATGAAATTCAATTTCCAAAAGAAAGATTAATTAATTAACAAATACAATTATTATTACAAAGTATCAAACATTTCATTCCATTTGATACCTATATCATTACTTTTAAAATGATGCAAATATGGATTTGTGGCTTTTGGAAAATCTAGTTGCAGTTTTCGAACTTTCCTGAATTTCAACATGCGGATCTTACTGACACGAAGTTTGGCCTGGCTACCGCTGCTGGTCGGAAAACGTCTTTGACCGGTTGCACGCAACTTATCGCGGAGTTCTTTCGTGATGGAGAAGTGTGCAACCTCCTGCAAACCAGCGTAGTAGTTCTCGTCATTAGGGTCCCCCCTCGTCTTCTCAAGGCGAGGTTGAGAACTGAAAACTTTCACAGTGTATCTGTGACCAACTTGGCCCCCATGTCGTTGCTGGGCATTCAAAGTCATAATAATAAAAGTTGAAACATGGGACTTCTGAATCTGCGTCCTACGCAGAAAAAGCCTCTCGATGTCCACAAAGGCTTACCTCCCGGCGCTGATACCGTGGAAAACGTAGCGAGTTTTGAACCGCTACCGAAAGCACAAGATAATAATAAATCTGTGCATATGAAATAAATGAACGAGCCGAATTATTATTTAATAAAATTTACTTTCGAAATTTGAAAAAAACTGAACTCAAGCACCGTGTGCTTTTCATATATGCATCGAGTGTGAAATTAAAATTTTTACCTAAAAACCCATACCTAACAAAGATGAGTTTAATGTATTATGTATTGTATCTGATCTTTATATTCCCTTACACTTACCTAAAATTAACATTTATTTCCATTTCGATAAAATGAATATCTACAATCACAGCACCACAATAACATACAGAACGAATGTTTTTGAAGCAGAATATCTCTTGCGCTTTCTCCACAGGCAGACGAAATCAAAGTTGTACGTAAGTCTGTATCAATCTTGTTTCTTTAAGCAAGAAGAAAGGCTTGTCGAACGCCGTTTCCTCCAGTCCGTGAGGTGCAAAGTTCTGATGACAAGTGCGTAAGTAACTTTAGAGGAAAAACTCGTGGGTATTCTTTTTGCAATGCCTAAGTCTTTCTGCCCGTGGGAGTCTTTCTGCCGGCGAGAAATGAATTATGTCAGGTCTGAAGGAAAAAATTACGCACACAGATCGTATTTTATTCTCGAGTCTCAAATATGTAGAAAAATCTTTTTACTCGGCTTCTGATAACAATCTGGAAAAGAAAGAGAGAGGAGTAGTGTAGTAGGAGGTGTGTGGGGGAGGGAAGAGAGTCAGGTCTGCGCTCGGGGCGGCGAATGGGGGGTGAGGTCAGTGTCATTACAAGATGTAGCAGCGGGTGACAGACCGCAGAGTCAATTTAGTGTCAATGAGTCAATTAAGGTTCTAATGTGGGTAGGATGTCACATGGGTACCGATGTTTTTCACCGGGATGCAACTGATATTTTTCACATTCGATCAGAGTGCGCCATAGCCTTCTTACGCATTTTAAAGACAAAATTTCCACATCAAACTTAAGTATCTTCATCAAAAAAGTGTTATTGTTAAAAGACTAATTACACCCCTGGGGATTGGCGTACTTACGGAACGGAAAAACAAGCTTTGAAACATACTCATACAAAAGTCCTACCTTTTCTTCGACAGATAAATGACAGATGTGATAATTTGAACACATGCTTTCAATCAGTTGTTTCCTTCTAACAAAGCGTCTTGCGCGGCTAGCAGGATCCTAGCAAAGTCTTGTAATAGTCTCTTGTTTTAAATATGCTGTGTTCGAACTCAAATTCAAAGACAGGCATTTAAAGATTTTATTAATGCTTTTTTTTACATTCGACGATTCAATATTTGTTAAAAAAATAAACACATAAATAAACTTGCATAGCAGATCAAAATTATGTTGCTGTGGAAATGTTTCATCAACAGTTATTAGTAGTTATAACAGCATAACTAAATAAGCCCATTTCGAAATATGGATGATATTGCATTCATTATTTTTAATCTGAAACAATATCAAGTTGTTATTACTAGATAAAATGGCTTAAAATAAGCTGACACATTATAAGAAAATTTTTTTAAAATGAAAATTGGATTCACTTTCTTTCACATAATTTCTGACCAGTTCTTCCAAAATATTTTAAAGCTTACTTTACTACATAATAGAAATGTCTCCACGTTCGTTGTTTTTATTTAGTTAGCAATTTTAATTGGGGCTGTTATATAAGAAGGCTATTTATCGTTGTTGTTGTGTTATAGTACTTATTTTATTGTATAATGCAAATTTTGATCAATTGGTTAATTTTATAATGTATAGAGGAACTTCAAAAAGAACAAAAGTAATTTCCACCGTTATAATATGTCCTTAAATGGTTCCCAATAAAAACATAGTTAACTAAGTAGTATACTACATTATATTAATTAATTTACTAACCAAATAGCAAAAACATTTCAAATTCGAAATCCATCTTTTTACTAAGTACTTTTTGCAAAGTAACAAAAATTCTAATCCCTTTGTAGTTTAAATTAAAGATAAACAAAAAATGTTGTTTTTTTTTTTCCCCATGAAATGCTAATTTTATGTTATTTGATAAAAAACTGGGAAGTGCAAAATCAAAATCCTGACGAAATACATATACTTATGAATGAACACAACACACAAACATTTCTTCACCCTAAGCACGAACACAAATAATATTTTAAACAGCTTAAAATGAATCTACTTTCAAAGTATTTAATTTGTGATAGATAATGACAGCTGAAAATATTTTCCAATATTACAAGATAAAATGAGGTTATTTCTCAATAGTTTCACAAATAAACTCACAAAATAAAGAACGCTTTTTTAAATTTTTAATTTGCAATATGTTAGATGCTTTATTGAAGAATTTGCAATAATATCGTTCTGATTTTCATTTTATCCAAGATTGCCATTATTTTTATGTTTCACTGATGAGCAACTTGCTAATTATTAGTCCAATGTAGAGTCCTCCTTCTGTTTTCTCATAAAATCGCCTTTGTAAATTTAGAGTTTAATTTAGCAAAACGTTTTCCACCTAAGTGGTAAAATGTCTTCGTAAAGGATTCCCTAAAGAAATCTGCCTTGTATTTATGTTGCATTTAGGGATATTTTCAAAAACACACGCTGCTGATTGTTATTTTTAATAGGTGAACAAAAGAAATATTTTTTTTAAGAAAGAATATAACTTAACTGCAAGCTATATCTTATTCCTAGATAGCGAAGCTTGATTACAAACTCAATTTTTAAAATACATTTAATTATCTTTATGCTTTAAAAAATGCCTTGTCTGGTAATTGTAAATGCATAAATCACTTGTTTTTTAAAACTAAGTGATCCACTCTAAGTTGAATAATTACAAATAGCATAATGTGAACGATTAATGAAGCTAGAACCGCCAGTTTATTCTTATGTAATTAATAAAAATTTCATTGTTTCAGCATCCTAGTATCTTTCTTCTTCCATACTAAAGCTCACATTTAAGCTTTAGAAAATAATCCTATTTCTTTCAATTACCATCCCTCAGTGGAAACTGATGAATAATAGTTTTCATGCATAACAAAGGTGTTTTACTGGGTATTCGGATAGAAAAAAAATTCTCGAATAATCTGAGTTGTTAATATATTTTTGGATAACATCCTGAGAGGAATTCATTAATAATAGTAAAGCCATGAAACAGGTAAACTCAAAACGTCCTTGGAAGGATCAAAATCATGATCGATTCAGTTATTTAAATAACGCAAAGCTGCGAGGGCTACCTGCCTATGAGGAAGGATGCCTTCGTGGAAGACATTCTCAGAGAAACTAGCATATTATACAGCGCACAAAAAAAAAAAAAAGATCATTCCTTATATTCTTCTTCCTTAAGGACCGGGATTCGAACCACAGATCTTCCAATTTTACTAGCTGGATCTGCTGCTACTTGCACCACCACAGGACGCAAGGTAAACCAGTAAGTCTTTATAAATGTACTAGCACGACAGCATTAATTATATGAATTGTTGGGCATTTTAACTTCGAAAATTAGATAGAATAGTATTTGAAAATGAATATTATGTTCAATTATTTTTAAGTTTGTTTGTAAACTGATCGTTGCCTTTCCAATTCAAAAAAATTTCGAATCATATCTAGATGCTAGATATATCATTAAAACATTTACTTGATTTGGCCACCCACTTAACTTACACGTTGACCATTTAAATAGAGCACTACCAATTGGCACATTCGCATCTCTTTTCTGTTTCGCATCTCTTTCTCTCGGAAACAAATCTACCTCTGTAGTAGATTAATGTATAGGTAGCAGACATTCTGTCACTGTCAGCCGAGCGGTAAAGTCGCTGAATAGTCGCAGAATACCGAGTTCTGACTTAAGTTCGATTCTAGGAGAACGGGCTGGCTGCATGGGCGTTTTCATAGTTTTCCGCATATATAACATATATACGAGCAGTTTTTTTTAAAAAGTCCTGGGGCCCACCAGCGGCCGAGCGATAAAGTCGCTGAACACTGGTAGTTCGGTCCGAGGTTCGAATCCCGCGAACGGGCTGGCTGCATGGGTGTTTTCGTGGTTTTCACCATGTGTAACGTGTATACGAGCCAGTTTCCCTTAGAAAGTCCTCCACGAAGCCATCCCATCCCTCCCCTTAGGCAGATAGCCCTCGAGGCTTTGCCGTAATTAAATAACCTAACCTTTAAAAAGTCCTCCACGAAGAGACCCTCCTCTTAGGCAGACAGCTCTAGTATGCTTTGATGTAGTCAAATAAGCCAAAACATTCTGTTGGCGAAAAAAGCAAGATTGCATTTATCGTGAATAATTTCTAATGCAAAAGTTATACTTGTCACTAAGGAAAGAATTTATTTTTGTGTAAAATTCAGATTGCTTGAATTTTAATAATTCTCAGAAACGAAACACAAATAACAAAAACTAAAAAAATATTCATAATTAATTAGGATATATAAACGATGTAATCATTAAGCATATTTTTAGTAAGAAAGAATATTTTGTAATAAATAATTGAAAAATATATTTAATATTAAAGAATCCTCTATATATCTCTACAAAGTATAAAAATTACAAATATTTTTCAAGGTGCATGTGTATATGTACCTGATAAAAATATTTACATTGTTTATTATTCTAGCGATATTTTTAACCAGGTGCATATTTTCCGTGAGGCATTTTCCGGAGATTTTTTTTCCCGATATACATTTTCAGGATATTTTCTTGGCATTCGTTTTACTCAAGTGGTTAGATTAAAGTGTTATTTTGTATGCTGTGAAACCTAACTAGAATTTATTTTCATTCCATAGTTGCTTCACATAAATTTTCGATTTCATGTAATATTCAGTTTCATAATGGCATTTTGAGATTTACTATACTTTTCAGTTTTTTTTATTAAATGTTGTCTACAACTACTTTCAATAAAATACTGATATATAATAGGGAAATATAACATACACGCGCACACATGCTCACAAACATTACATCACCATATGTATACACAGTGTTTTGTATTGTGTGTTTACATATATATATATATAGTTTACATACATTTACAAAACAGTTTTAATAATTCCTACGAAAAATGTGATAAATTTTCACGAAATAAACTGCTTGCGCTTTCTATAGTTTAACATAGCTGAAGATTTTAAAGTCTGAATTTAAATAATGATATTGTGTTTATATGTACTGTAATTACTGATGAAAGGATGTTTCTGAATTTAAAGCCAGGGTAGCTTAAATTACTAACAGACGGCAAATACACAACTTGAAATCAGAGTCTTTGGAAGAAGCAATAAATTTAGAATTTACGGCAGCTCCATTTCTCGTCATAGTTAACAAAATGAAAGAACTGAGAAAGATAGATAGCGGATGCTTTTTTGTCCTTGCACAAAGGTAATGGTCTCCCATATAAAGTAGAAAATGTACAAAGGTGGTAAGCTTTTAGTTCAGTAAACCCCCTGGAGGTATATTTACGTTGAAGTCAACTTGGAGATTCCGCTATTAGGTGTTTTCTTTGAAAAGGGTAATATCTTTTTCAGCACATAACCAGAAATAAGAGTTTATGTTTTCATTACTTAATCTTCAAAGCTGTATAATTTGGAGCATCTGCTCGGAAAACTCATGAAAAATAATATCGTTAACAATTTTGCTACAAAGAATTTTTTTTTTTTCATTTTCATGAAAAGAATATGAAAAGAATACACACCGTAAATGTCTTGGAGAAATAATATCGTTAACAATTTTGCTACAAAGAATTTTTTTTTTTTTTTTGTTTCTATTAACATCTCGATAATGCACGTAGTATATAAATACTTGCATTGTAACTCATATATAGCTAATTACAAGGAAATTGCATTGTAACTCGAAAATACATTTATTTTCTCAAGAAGCTCCTTTGTCCAAGCTGTTTACTTGTTTTCTACCCCCAAAGTGATTTTACTCTCTATAAAAGCCGAACTGCCTGATCTCATTCATCAGCCACTTCATCTATTCTGCTGTTGTGTTATCTGCTGCTGCTATTTCGTGCTGTTTTGAAAAGAAGCATATATGGCTAGTGAATCTGAAGAAGAAAGTTTATTATCTAGCTCAGAAAGCGAGTTTTTATCTTCATCTGAAACTGAAAGTGATTCAGATGAAGAACAATTAAGCAAAGTGCGGGATTGGTGCAAGATAGACACTTCTAAAACTCAACCTGTTCCTCCTAAATTTCCATTCAGCGCTTGCCCAGGTTTAAAAATGACCATAAAGGATGCGAATGATCCTTTACAATTCCTCCTTCTCTTTATCGATGACGAAGTTGTAAACATTGTAGTTGAAGAAACTAATAGATATGCCTCCCAGTATTTGGCCGCAACTATATTAAGTCCACGAGCAAGAACACGCGCATGGACTGAAACAAATCCAAGTGAAATAAAAGTGTTTTTTGCATTGCTGTTATTGCAAGGAATTATGCAGAAGCCAGTGGAGAAATGGTTTTGGACTCAAAGACCAATAATAAGCACTCCATCTATAGGCAAAATAATGACAGAGAGGCGATACAGTCTCCTTATGAAGTTCTTACATTTTGAAAATAACGAAACTTTCGACAAAAGTGTACATCCTCAGCCTAAACCGAAAAAAAAATTATACCTTTTCTGAAAGGCTGCGACAAAAATTCAAAAACGCATATATCCCTGACAGGGATATAGCTATAGATGAATCTCTGCTGGGTTATAAAGGCCGCCTAGGTTGGAAACAATATATAGCGACTAAAAGAGCTAGATTCGGAATTAAAATATTCCAATTATGCGAATCGTCAAGTGGATATATTTGGAATTTCGTACTTTATACCGGTAAAGGTACTAAATTTGATCTGCGATACGAACAATTTGGAGTTGCAACGAAAAGCGCAATGACGCTGATACATGATTTACTAAACAAAGGCTATAGCTTAACGCTAGACAACTTTTATACTTCACTTGAACTTTCGGAATTACTTATCGCGGGAAAAACAGATATATGTGGCACTTTGCGTGCAAATAGGAAAGGTCTTCCTCAAGAACTGAAATCAGAAAGATTGAAGAAGGGCGAAATTATGGCCTTTCAGAAAGGCAAAATATGCGTTCTGAAATGGCAAGACAAAAAACCCATTTCATTTTTAAGTACCTACCATGGTACAGATTTCGAAACTCTTTCGAAAAATGATAAACTCATACGAAAACCTACTGCTATAATTGACTACAATAAAAAAATGGGAGGAGTGGATAAAGCTGACCAGTGTCTAGCGTATTATCCATCCAGTCATAAGAAACCAACAACGAAAGAAAGTATATAAAAAGATTTTTCGGCATCTCTTAGATCAAGCCGTATGGAATGCTTTCGTCATTTATACGAAGTGTGGAAGGCCTTAACAGGCATCTTGAATTTAGACTGAGACTGATAGAGAGATTAATTGAAGAGCATTTAACACAGTTATCGCACCCAAATGACGCATCACAATATGGTAGCATCGTACGTTTAACTGGAAGACATTTTCCTTCTGTTATTCCTCATACTGGTGCTACTCGAAACAATCCTTCGCGTAGATGTGTTGTGTGCAATAAACAAAGAAATGATAAAGGAAAAAGAATTAGACGCGAAACCAGATACTGGTGCGAAGAATGTAATGTAGGACTATGTGTTCACCCATGTTTTAAAAACATATCACACTGTTCAGGACTTCTAAATTATGGTATGTTTCTTCATTACTTTTACTTTTAAAGTGAAAATGCTATTATATTTTAAATTCATCTTATCATTTTCATTACCATAACTCAGATATTTAGATAAAGAACTTTGTCTTTTTAGAAAATCTTTAAAAAAATTTTGGTTAGATGTATGCGAATTCAGTGAAAAGAAGAACTTTTAATTGGTGGTGAAACCCTGTCATTAAGTATCAAATCTGAGTGTAAAATATTTTAATTTTGAATGTATGTATTAATTATATCGTAAATTTAAAGATTATTGTAGAATATTGTCAAGCGTTAAATTTTCAAGAAATATGAGTCAAAGCTACGTACAACAGTAAGAACTTATGCTTTTGCTAGTTAAAGAATAACTATTTATTTTCCCATTTTATTTTTAATTCACAATATATTTCATATCATTGTACTCATTGAATGTACTTAGTTTGCCTTAGATTTTGCTGAAGTGTATTTTTGTTCCCTGTATAATTTTTTACTTCATTTTAAATTTATTTTTAGTGTCATCATTAAAAATATTTCATTCTTTGTCTTTGATATTTACGTTATAAAAATATTAAATTAATTTTTGCATTATATTTTAGAAATGCTTTGCATTTTCATTTTAATTGTAAAGTTTATGCAAAATCTGCATGAAACTACTATATTAAGTGACTGCTACTAAAATGCTTCATCTATGAATTTTTTTTTTTTTTTCATTTGTTGGAACTTAAAAGGAAAGGTAGCAGCCTAAGTAACAATTGTTTTGCACATTCGTAAACATTCTTTGAATTATGATTTTGAGGTTTTGTTAAATAACAAATATTAGCGTATTAATTCTTCGCTTGCATTTCCTTGAAAATACATTTCTAAATCAATGAAAAAAGGCAACTAAATTAATAAGCTGAGTTTTTTTAAAGCTTTAATGTTATTCTTTATTAACAAGTTTGATATCGTAACAAACCTTGAACTGAAGAGGAGGCTCATACAAATAGCAATTAGGGCTAGAAGCATTACTTATATATATGTTAGATGCAGAAAGTTGCTCAAATCTCGAGGTAAGCTAAAAGGATAAATTAATGAAGGATGCTGTAAAAATTTGAGGTAAGTTCCCAAATCAGTTGGGTTGGATTAGATCCGTAAATTACGGAATAACACATTAAGATTATGAGAGGGACTTCTTTCAAAGAGGGCGTTCTAAAGAGAACTTACTTAGGTTACTTATGAGAAAATAATCATAACCTTTTCATATGGGCTCTAGATTTTATTTTTTTAAATACTGAAGCCATTTAGTCAACTATTCAGTCAACAAGGAATAGAAAAACGAATCGACATAAAAGTATATTAAAAAAGACATATATTTTCTAATTAGCCTTTGATTAATTCAGAGCGAAGTGTCAGATTTTGTTTAAGAAGGGGCTAACCAAGTTAAAGATTCAATCTTTGACATGTTTTTATGTGTAAAGTAGCATAGATATATACTAAATTTTTAAGCATGTATTTACACAATCTTATATGTTGCAAAATATATTTTGTGAATATCCATAATCAGTATGTTAAATATAACATATTAAAATAAATTAGTATTTTAGATAATTAGATTACATTTATTGATTAGTAAGGAAGCGAAACAATTTTCTAAATTATCGATATAGATAAAACCGAAAATTGAAAATAAATTAATCACGAATCCAAGGCAGCAAGCAATACACAGTGCTAGTGTATTTTTTAGAAACGAATTCTTTTTTTCTTTAAAAAACAAGCCGTATATTCACAAATCCATCGATAGTTTCTTAAACATTTACGTATTAACGTTTGTAGCATTCTTCGTTGTGATTAAGTTCATTTGAATAAAATCGGGTATGACGTTTTAAACTGTCTTTAGATCAGACCATAATTTATATCATTTCTGAAAACGTAAAAGGACTTGTGAACAGAAGAAATATTTCAAATGAACTAACAAGGATTTAATAGTTTTAAATCATTGTTGTTATTTTAACATAAATATTCACATACAAATAAATGACCCTTGAATTTTTTCTGTGTTAAGGTAAATATTTTTCTACGCTATGTAATTATTAGATTTGTCTCTGCTATATTAAAAACACTTTTTTGGAAACAAATGGGGGGCATTTTGTTACGATTTCCAATTTTTTTCTGTTTATTGGAGTTGCATGAATGAGTTGAATTTTAAAGGAGTAACCTTTAAAATGAGTTTATTGGAGTTGAATGAATGAGTTGAATTTTAAAGGAGTAACCTGATCTTTTAAAAAAGACATAATTGTCTGTAATGTAAAAGTTTTTAATTCGAAGGTAAAATAATGTACAAATGAGAGAAGTAGAATCGACGCTCTTTACTTTTGTGCACTTTTCAGGAAAAAATATAAACAAAGGTGAGATGGACAGTGCAGTGTGCGTAGAAGTTGCAAATGAGTTACCAAAAATAGTTTAAATCAGCTTCCCAGGTTCTTGTATAAAAATTGTTAGGTTTTTCACATACGATTAGTATACTAAAATATGCTCACCTTCGAATTAATTTAATTAAATCAAAAGGATAGAAATTTCTCCATTCACCACCAGGACAATGTCATCGTTAATCCCTCCTTTTAGCATGTTGAACAACAGTGTGAAATTACAATATCCGCGTCATCGAATTCTTCAATAAAAATAAGAAAATGAAAAAATCAGAGCCCTGAAATTCTTCTTAACCCCATTGCATAGCATGCACTACAAGTGAATTACATACCTAACATAATGTTGGTAAACGAAGAAAAAAAGAAATATTTTAGTTCAGTTATTATACTTGTTCAGTTATTTACTGTGTTCTTTAGTCCTGCGCTACGCTCAGCTGTAATATTTAATCATTGAAATAAACTGCTATACGACCTAATTCGACGAACCTTTTTATTTTGTTTCAAAAACAAGGCTTTGAAATGTATGATACTACTGTTTTTCGTTACAACTCTACAAATCGGAAGCCAAATGCTTTGCTATCCTAATAATATGTTTCATATAAACTTTACAAATTAGTTCAAATACCTCTAATTTATTGTAGAAGACGGCTTTTAAAGAGATGTATTCTTGCACATCTGTTTATCAGCAAAGCCAAATCAGTTGCTAGAGGTCATGTGTGTTCAAAATTTCAGACGCTAGTGCCATAATTTCCATAATCTTTTAGTTTTCTGCATAAAAACCATACTTAATACTCAGTCCTTCAGTATTTAAAATAAAGATAGATGTATGTAATATAAATGATAGTAGAAGTCTTTTAATTTTCCCACTACTATCACTTTATCAGATTTTGTTTCGTGGGTAAGATTAAAAACACGATTTTACTACATAATATATATGAAGGTAACTGAAAAAATAAATGGTAAATACTGAACCTATGTGTACGTGAAAGAAAGAGCAAAAAACAAAAACAATGTTGCTTTGAAAATGATTAAACTTTGTTGTCGCAGATGAAATTCGAAATATTTCCTCTGCGTAAGCCTTAACGTTTAATATATATATGATTATTACAAAATGATAATTCTTTAGGGCCTTCCTTTAATCGATAAAAAATAAATGACAGTTTTAACATATTTT